CCCCAAAACCCCAAAACCCCAAAACCCCAAAACCCCAAAACCCCTATTTTAGTTAGCCAAATTGAGTATTGTGAAGTTTTGGGTAATCTTCATCGAAACTTAGCAAACCTAGTTTATTTAGTCATATGCTCAATCCATTTGCTTTGCATAGTGCATTCCTTGAAAGCCTTTCCGTGGAAATTCTGAGCCTTGTTTCCTGGTCTATGTCCAGTATAACCTACAACAGGGATAGAGACGGGTTTCTCAGATAAATCAGTGTTCTTATCAACAGCCTTTTGGAATCCTTTAGAAAGCTTTTGATACGTTTCAGTTCCCTGCAAATCATAATTACTAGCTGAACGGAGCTTGGCTTTTAAAGGAGATACATCTAAATAATTAGGTGCTCCTGCCTTTTTCATCAAATTATGTCTGTACAACGACTCAGATCCTCAGTACCCAATCGTAGGGAGTTCATCAATAGCTCTAGGTTCAGTTGGAAGTCTGGCTAGTTCCACTGGGTCAATACCCATTGTTGAGAAATACTCTTCGAAATCTTCTTTGTCCTTCTTCATGAGAGCTTCACCGTTCTGTGCAAGTCTTCTATGATTCTTATTGTCAAACTCTTGTCTAGTGGTAGTGGTGAATCTATCTTCATTAGTTATCTCATTGCCAACATTATGCTCTCTAGCAATGATCTTACCCGTAGTGTGCCCATAAGTTCTTCCAAAAACATTCTCAGAGTGAATTCCAGGAACATGGCCTTTGTACCCAGGTACATGTTGTGGTTTTAAATCCTGTGTATGGCCACCAATCCAGGTTTTACCTTCTTTGGATCTATTACTAAGGGTCACCTTGAGACTCTCATCGGCAGGTACAGGCTTAGAAGAATAAACTCATTTCTGCCTGTTAATACCACTCTGAGCTTCATTATCAGCTGTGAAATTAGTGTATTTAAAACTTTCATGGTTCAGCTGCCTGCTAGCCTCTCCTACTGTAACACCATAGATATCATTCTTCTTTGCAACGAACCCAGTGTAGCCTGGCAGGTACTCCTTCTTATTAAACATTTTAAAATATTATTGTTTCAAATAAAATTTTTAAATAAGGGGTTTTGGGGTTTTGGGGTTTTGGGGTTTTGGGG